CCCCCCCCCGCCACTCGCAAATCTCCACATGCCACCACGTCAATCCAAGACCTCCCAACGCGCAGCCGCCGCCGCCACCGTCGCTGCCGCTGCGCTTGCCTCCACCTCATCCACAGTCGTCGCCTCAGCCATCGCTGCTGCGGCATCCTCGACATCCGTTCTGGGCGCGTCCTCCACCCCTCTTCCTCCGACATGACCGCATCCTCCATCAACATGTCTGACATCCGCATCGACTCGGTCGATAGCATCGCCCGCAACCTCGCAAGCGAACAACCACCAACAAACACCGCCCCCCCCGACCTCTCCGCCATCCTCCACACTCTCAACACCCTCCAAACCTCTGTCACCGCCTCTCTCAACGACATAAAGGCCACTGTGTCATCCATATCCGACCGTGTCACCACGCTCGAAGGGAACAACCCCTCCATCACGGTCGTCACCACGGCCGTGCCTCCCTCCTCCACAACGCAAATCACTCCCTCCTCCACAGCGCAAACCACTCCCTCCTCCACAGCCGCCTCCAGCAACMCCCCCCCACCGACCTCCTCCACTCCTACCACCTCTACCACCACATCCACCAACCCTTCAACCTCCACCATCGTTTCGTTCCCCCCACCTCCTCCCTCATTCGGCGCATCCAGCACACCGCCTCATTCCTCGCCCATCCATGTCACCCCTCTTCCCCCCCCGCACTCCCATACCCTTCACCAACCCATCATGACGACCTCCACCATCCCCACCATCCGTCCCACCTATTCCCAAGTCACCTCCGGGGTCTACCCCGCAATGCCACAACTCCCTCCCCAAGTACCTCCTTGAGGACAACAACCAACTCGACTACACCTGCTACAACATCGCCCCCGATAACCTCAGCGTCAACACCCTCGCCCAGGTCGTTTCCCGCAACGGGGAAATCCCTCGTTCCTTCCGATCCGACGAAATCATGTCCTTCTTCGGCCTCCCCCACGAGGATGTTTTCCTCTTCCTAACCCAGCTCCAAAACTCTTTTCACCTCCACCACATGCTCCTTGCCCAATAGCTCCCCATTGCCATCTCCTGCCTCCTCGGCAATGCCGCCAAATGGTGGATGGCTGAAGTCAGCAACCGCCGAGCCTCCGGACGACCACGTCACTCCTTCCTCCAATGGGCCAAACTTCTCACTGCCACCTTCCGCCCCCAGCAAACCATTGATGACTACCTCGAACAATTATGTCACCTCCGCCAGACCGGTCCCACGGACCGCTTCGTCCAATACATCCGCTCCCTCCGCCATCACCTCCCCACCGCCGTCATTCCCGACTTTGCATTCATCTCCCGCATCAAGCGAGTATGCCACAAAGATGAAACGGTATTCACCAATTAGCAGTAGCTGATGCAGATCCCAGGGCTCGATCCCTAGTCCCCACCTTACCTGTGTACAGTATCTGTGTCGACCCTTAACAGTTGGTAGGTTGTGGTAGCGTCCATAGGTAGCAGGGGTTCCATCTGTAGACCTGTCGAGTAGGAGTCTCAGTCAGGTCTAGAAGTCGCAGCTGTAGCCTTCTCGAAGGGTCAAGGTCGTAGCTGCTACAGTCCCGAAAGGCCAAGTCTACGGCCTTTCGGATGTCCGAGTAGTGGCCTTTCGAAGTTGCCCACATTTAAGTTGAGGCAAGTGGGCAAGTGGTGGAGTCTTCCCGTGCTGAGTCAACAGTCCCAGCCCCAGTCAGTCCTGGTCCAGTCAAGCGAGTACCGCATGGGACTGTGTGCACTTCGGGCATGGGAAAGGGCCAGACCAACGAGCTGCAGAAGTATAAATCAAGAGGCAGCGCCCAGTCATTCATTTATTCCTGCATGAGCCATGTGGAAGCGCTGCCACAAGCGACTTGTGCGAGGTGGTCTGCAGTGAGCCCGAGGACGAAGTGGGCGAGAGAGAAGGAGGGTAGCCATAGCGATAGGTAGTAGCGGCCATAGCCGCCATAGCTGTAGGTAGAGTTCAGTGTATGTGTGTGTGTGTGTTCAGAGTTTCGCGTGTGGGATATCCAAGGTGATCCTGTGTATGCGAACAGAGAGTTGTGTGGGCACTGAGTCGCCATAGCCATCGAAGTGAACTTGAATCTGAACTGTGTTCTCGGTTACCATATCTCTGAGTTCTGATTGGGCACTTG